AAAAAAAAAAAAAAAAAAAAAAAAAAAAAAGAAAAAAAAAAAAAAAAAAAAAAAAAAAAACAAAAAATAAAAAAAAAAAAAAAAAAAAAAAAAAAAAAAAAAAAAAAAAAAAAAAAAAAAAAAAAAAAAAAAAATACAATGAAATAAAATAAAATAAAAAAACGAGCGATAAATTACGTTAACTTATGAATGTTAAACGTCGATTATTAAATATAAGTAAAAGTTCAAATTTAAAAACGACAATTAACTTGATGAAATTTGTAAAATTATTTTTGCAATAAAACATCAAGTTTTTAATCGCCATATACAACACACGAACTGCTTACTGGTATGTTGTCAATAAAAGCTTTATTTTCTGTCATTCCTAAATCAAGTAATATTGTAGAAATAAGAAGGGAACAACGTGGCTGTCTCTTGCGTTATATTGGTGAGCGAAGAACACGTGCTTGACTGATCAACCTTCGATGATATCATCAGGGGGTGTGCGCATATCAAATGATGCAATTTTTCAGACTTGGGGTGTGATTAGTTCACCTGATGAAAGAAAAGGGAGATACAGTACAGCATATGCACTTACTTATCAAAATAATAAAAAGTAGTCGTGTGCTCAACTGTTGAAATTTTGGATGAAAACCTGGAAAATTCTACAGTATATCACGCAATATTGCACGCGTATATTTTTCATCGGTAAGTCGAGTTCGTTATCAGGAATCACCCCGAAAGTGTGCATGATGATGAATGTGAAAAGTTTTGGAAAAGCTCGAGCGGAATGGATTTCCAGTGACCTCGTGTCTTTCATAGGTCTTAGTTTCTGATGACGGTATGTAAATTGCTTAATCATAAGCACCTATCGTTATCCTTCCATCATTTCGTCAACACGTAGCAATCCATGTAATTCCGCACAAAAGTTTTCCTTGCGTGTCTAACCGGATACGTCGCTGCATGCCAACAACGTGACTCCTCATTCATCAGGCCTTTCAAGGGGTATAAAAAAAAATACTAGCGCGACGAATCTACTGTTATGCGCGAAATGGACTCCTAAGAAGATTCTTTAAGGCGTGACCAATTCCATATGTTATTCAACAGTATATTCGGGACCTTGTTTAATTTAGTTATTTTACTAAAGGACTCATTTCCTGTACATTTTGTTCAACAAACTTTATCGCCGAGATTACTTCCGAACCTATCAATGTTGTACAAAGGCGAAAAGAGAACATCAATGGATGAAACCAAAACGTTTGGCGATCAAGTGTACCAAGACGATTAAAATATTATGCGCTGTCATGATTAATTTGATGGTTGGCACCATAATACCACTCGAGTGCATTCTCCAGACGACGATAACACCTCTTCGTTTTACCTCAGCCCACGGAATATTTTGGAGTCATAACGATTCCATCATGCTCAGAACTAGCGGCAGGTTGCGCAATGACGTGCCATTTTCATGCCACGATTGATGTAATATTAGGATTAGCCTAGTTTTTGATACATGCATGCACGATCCGATGCTTTGATTTGTTTTAATGATGGTTTGTTAGTAATCCAAATGGCGACAGAATGCTAAATTTGGCGCAATTATTTACTGTTGACGGTTATGGGAAAATCGAACCTTAAAAGGCTTAGATCGATTTCCAAGCGGAAGACGTATTATTTTTTACTTATTGTGAAATCCATGATTTTTATTTTATCGAAGGAAAAATATCATAGTGAATTTTTTTTAAAAAAATTGGATAATTTTGATTTATTTTTTTTAAATATTATTAATACATATACTGCTACGAAAATACAAATAAATTTTAAATAATAAATTCTAGTGCAGTATTTTTTTTTTTTTAAAAAAAAAAAAAAGAAAATTTGATTTTTCTTGTAACTGTTTTGTGACACGCCGCACAGTACCACCCATTCAGAACTCATTCTTTCAAGAGATTTATTACCCTTGAAGCTACCACAAATAATAATAATAATAATAAAAAGGTTTTCATAGTGTTCGGTATCGCGTGATAAGTGAAATCTATCAGTATTTGAGGAGACCGCTTCTATAGCGACGTAAATTTGTAAAACGCTCGAGATTACAAGACTATATATAATATGTGATTGATGAATAGGCGGATAAATATCTATCAATGTTCGGTATTCTATACCCAAATTTATATCCTTTTCATATTTGCTGCTCTTTTTGTCTTTTTTCTCGGATCATCTTTAAGATATCAGATGATTGCTTGATCATCGCCCTTCCCAAAGACACGTCCCTCTCTTGATTGTACTTCCCATTCATAATAATCCCTCCCAAGGTTTTCAATGCTCTGGGGTGATTATGTTGCGCCGCCCTTTTCAGATAATTAACTGCATGCTTGTATCGATCCTTTTTGTGTTCCTTGGCCACTTGAGGAGTATTCAATATCGTGATGGCGTACAGGAATTGTGATTCAGCATGATCCAGCCTCGCCGCGGAGCTAAGATAAGGTATACCTTTTTCTGGATCGGGTTTCCCATTTTTTCCATCATAAAGTCCCTTCAGATAATAATAGCCAACCCAATACATCGCTTCTGGATCATGCGAGTAATCTTCATACTCCCGGAATACCTTCCATGCTTTCTTATATTTTCTTTCGTCGTGATAATGAATTCCGTTTTCGATCTCTGGTGACTTCTCGACCAACGGATTATAATTTTTGCCAAAGCCTTTATTTTCTAAAATCGAATTATTCGAGATGGTATCAAGCTGCGTTGAATCTTTCGATGTGCGGTCTTCGTTGTTCTCTTCGATGCCAATCAACTTTACCCGCTGGCTAGATAAAAATGCAAAGTCAAGTTTCTCAAGGAGTTCGTGTAATAATTGCATGCCTGGACGTTTGTCGGGTGAAAGTGACCACGCCTTTTCCATTATATTTTGAAATTCTTCCGGAGTACCGGTCACAGGCTCGAGTTCTGGATATTCTCCGGCAAGAATCTTCGTTTTTATTTGATCGGGGTTCAGGTCAGCGTAGGGTTTCTGGTTATGTTGGATTTCCCACATTACCATTGCAAAGCTAGATTTAACAAAGGATTGGTTTTCAATGATACTCACTCGTTTATACATAAAAATCGTTTGTATTGATGTAAAAATAGTATACCTATAAATCTCGCTAGCCTTGCTGTAAACTACGCCCCTAAGCCTCTCCGGAGAACTATATCTTGGATCGTCAATAGCCGCGTCCGGAGAGGTCAGCATAACAGAAGAATTCTCGAATCGGAAATTGTATAATTTGGGCTGGAGATGTTGATCCAACAACACGTTCTCGCTAAGAAAAGAATATATGAAAATATGTGATCAAAATTACCGAATGGTACCGATGCTCAAACAAACAGGAAAGAAATAATACCCACGTTCTAACGTCGTAATGCAGTACATTTTTCCCATGACAATACTTCAATGCATCGGCAATTCCGCTTGCGATGTTTAGTTTTTCGTCCCAAACCAAGTCGACGTGTTCGGCGAGATAAGTTTGTAAGTTATAATCTCCCCATTCGCAGATTACCGAGAAATTTTTATTCGAACGCTGGCAATACCCCAAACTGCATTCATTGATTTAAATTGAAAAGTAAGCGTAGTGCTCGTTAAAAAAACAAGAAAAAGAAGAAAATGTAAATTACATACAATTCCAATATATGAATATTTGGGCCCTGTTCTTTCAACTTTTTCATGAAATCGATTTCCTTTTTTAATTTCATCAACATCTTATCTTGCATGCCGAATTTTCCCAGGTCCTTCTCAGCCACTCTTCTAAATCCCAGATACCAATATTGCCGAATATGATTTTTACTTCCTCTGAATATGGGATTCTCTTCTGTGGCATTAAGTTCGGAAAATGCATGTTTTTGTGGAGAGACGACACCCGAGTGTGCGGGCTTCAATTTTTCCTCGGATATCTTGAAATTCTTGACTTCGAATTCTTCGAGTTCATTGTTGCATGACGAATGTTTCATAATGGTCCTGATTTTAGCGAGGGCAAAAATCTTTGCTTTGATATTACTGTTCCATCCGGAACGTTTTAACCTCCATTTTTCGATAGCGTTCTGCAAATTGGTGGTGGCCTTATTTAATTCTTCGGTTAACTTTTTTATTTCATTCCGTAACTTTTTTGCAAAAAGAAAAAACAAAAGGAGGCGAAAAAGTTAATTTGTTAGAATGGAAATAACGTTGTAAGGTATGAAATTGTTGGAATTCTGTAGAATATCTTACTTCGAAACTCTCGACGTTTTGGGCTTCATAATCATTAAAAAATATACTGATCTTCCACAGAATGTCGGTGAACTTAAGAAGTTCCTTATTGTCCTCGAGGAACCCTTGGAATGCACCGGCGGACAACGGAGATTTTAGCGGAGATTTCACATCGGAAACTGTTAACGCATATTGGATGTTGAGAGGCTTTAAGTGTGGGCGGAAGTTTCTACGTGCATTATTCTTTTCCTTTTTATTCTCGAAGGTTTTTGACCTATTAATTCCCGTGGAATTTTCAGGCGACATGAGGTCTGAATGCGCCTCATCCTGCTGTTGGTAGCTAAAGTATCTTTCAGTCAGTTCTTCAATTTTGTTGAAAACTTGTTTGCTTTTTCGCGCAATCTCCGCTCCCTCGGAGCATAGGTCACGATTGTATTTGGATTTTTCGAAATACGCGATTACTTGATTTAAAGAATTTTCGGTAATTGAGATGTCTGATGTGTCCAATGGAAAGAAGGATGGGATTTTATCATCCATGGACGATTTGAATGCTTTTTTTTCAAATTCTAACGCCATGATTGTTTTATTATTCTTTAAATAAATTAGACAAGTCAGGAACGTTGAGAAGTGAAAAATGATAATAAAAAAAGAACAATTGTATGGTTTGATTTTGAAATCTCAAGAGCGGATTATATAGGATTTCGAGAAAATGGAAAAAAAGGACTGTTCTCGTGCCAATGCATGCATCGACGAACTTTAATTTGCGCATTACTATGAGAATGCATAGACTCGCCAATTCTTTATTTCACAATGTTTATGATTTGTATCATGCGATGGGAATAAGGTGTTCCTTGTTTAATTTCCCGCAGCTTTATAAGGACAGATCGAAAATACTGTAATGCAAACAATTTCCTTCTGCGCTATTGTATATGCAAGGGTTACGGTTGCACAAAACGCAAATTAATTGTCACCCACTGTACGTAGAATGGACACTCGGTTACTTATCAAGAAGTTCCGGAGAGAAGACACGTATAACTAATTAATGCCTTCTTTGTAGCGGTGGCGACACGAGGTTTTGTGACATAAAGGTTAATCCAAGTACAAGGCAAACACTTCCTATCTTAAGGCTTTGTTTTTGGAGTATGAATCGGTTGAAGCATCCAGGATGGCTCCGTTAGCCGTCGAGAGTGGAAATTTCTCTACCTAATTTGCAATCTTTTTTATAATCTTTTATTTAACCCGTTAAAGTCTTTTTTTTTTTTTTTTTTTTTGCTTCTTTTTTATTATTATTATTTTTTTTTTTTCCTTTTCCTTTTTTTTCAGATACGTTAATCAATAAATTCCCCCCATTGCCAAAACAAACTCTCAATGGGAATTACAAGGCTCTGGACTTTATTAATTTCCATTTTTAGAGACAATGGACAGTAACAACTCATGCTCACGAGATGTTGATATACTGTAAATGATTGATAAATTATTTATTTATTTATATTTGTTGATTATTAATCTAGTATTTACAAAAAAAAAAAAAAAAAAAAAAAAAAAACAATACATTAAGTGATTTATGTAACAAGGAATTCAAAATACAGTATAAGGTTTTGTTTCTTTGATGAATGATTGATGTAAAGGTTCTCGGTGAACTTTGAAATCCACAAAAGTCAACAATAACCAATAATCTAGGTAACAGTAATGTTCAGGAGTGCGTATGCGTGAAATAAGTTAAGTTACGGAATGACTGCCAACCAAATGGTTGGGCAATAACGTTCAGAAATTGCGTGGGTTGAATGAGGCTACGAATGACTCCGTTGGTCAATGCATTTTGCAACAATAATTTTACTTTAATGTTCAGAAATTTATGTAAACTCGGTCGAAATAAAATTGTCACAATGATTTAATTAACAAAGAATAAATGAATGAAGTAAAATAGTCATACCAAAGTGGCTGTAGTACCTTTATCATAATTAAAATTCGTGCGAAGGAAGGGGATTTACAGCATATGACGCATACGGACAAAGTTTTTTGGAATTATTTATTTTGTTATAATTTGGTGACACGCAAGGGCTGCATTCGATCATTGAAAAAATGATGCACGACTTTTTATTGACTCTGAGGCACGAATATAATCGAAGAATCGAGAAAGTATTTTTGGTTCATTCTTGTTTTGTAGAAAAAGTCTAAAATCTGTTTTTTTTCGTATATTGCAATATTTAAAATTATTTTTTTAAAAAAAAATTTTTTTTTTCTATGGATGTTGAACTTTTAATGAATTTGTCATCCAAAAAATCATTCAACAAAGTTAGGATTATATAAAATAACGACGGTGTACGCTATTGTTTATATGTTCTATTTTGAAAATATTAATTCATAAATCATATCATTTTATCGATTGCAGCAATCACAAGCGAGACAATTGGTGAATGCTTTTTTTAGTTCACAGTATGTCCCTTTGAACGTTAACAACGGTAGGAGGCTATATTTCTATTTTCATTATGATAAAAAATTTCACTTTAAGGATACCGTATTTATTTTTACCAAATAATTTTCAATGTGTTGATCGAGTAATTGTGAATGTGATTTATTATTATCAAATAGCGACAACTTTTTAAAAATACCGAATCTTATCTAACAAAGTTTCGATAGCTTGGTTCTATATAAATCTATTTTTAGATGCAGAAATCCTTATCATTTTCGATTTATTTTAAATTTATGCAGAAAGTCGATTCAAGGTTGATTGATTTCAACGACAAATAAAATAAATAAATAAGATCAGTAATAAATTAATTTTTTAAAATTTGAAATTTTCTTATATAGTACTATGAATATTTCATAAAGCTCAGGGTAAATTTTTTATATTTTTATTTGTATTGTATATTTGATAAATTAAAATTATAATTTTTGTAATTTTAATTCAATATAAAAATGATTAATATTAAATTAAAAAAATTTTCATCTCATAAGTCATATTATCGATAGAAAAATTTTAATTATTTAATACGTTATATTAATGATAAAAAAAAAAAATTTTTTTTTTTTTTTTTTTTTTTTTTTTTTTTTTTTTTTTTTTTTTTTATACAGGATATTTAAAAGATCACGTCATCGATACGCGAACCACTTGTATAACAATGAAATTGGCATCGCTTAAATATCGAATGTGGAATTAATTAGTAAATGAGATTTTTGAAAGTTAAGAAACAGTTTTGAACCTTCATTTATTTTCATTTTTATTTTATTTTTTTATTTTATTTTCATTTTTATTTTTTTCGTCTAATATATGTTTGACAAACTTAACATTTAAAACAAATATTGCGTAGTGATGTGAAATTTGGTAAATGTACATGAAAAATATGAATGTTTACAAGAAGATTGGAGGTCTTAGATAAAGGGATGTCTTATTTTATGATTTCTTACTTTCTCTGAAAAGTGAAGTGGGATAGATTTTTTCGTCTACGCTTATGATCTTTAAAAGTTGAATGTGTAGGTTCATATCAATTGACTACTTATTATTTAGATTAATTAATCTGGTTCTCGCAGAACGAAATGCAAATGGCATGAGCTTTTGCACCCAGCCCAAGGAATTTGATGTTCTCCCAGACGCTGTGCCAATTCTCTGGTGTAAAGGTATCATACCACTTATCATCGTTCCCATCGTATAAATATTCGAGGATCGACTCGAACGTTCCGGGGGATGGAACAGTGATAGTGATTGGTTCGTTGTTATTCTTGACGCGATTTTTAAAGATTTCGCTAAAGAAATTTGACTGAAGAACAAGGAACTCTTTATGCACCCAAAATCTTCGGGTAATACCCTCAACACGGAGTTCTGCGAAAGAGGTTGCCTTGTCATTGTAATATTGATAGCCTATCAGATGAAGTTTTTCAATCAGATATGCCGTAATGGGGTTTGAATCTATTAATTGGCGTCCAACACTATTTACTTTGGATCGTGTCTTTCGGACTCTTTGGTTTGTTGCCATTTTATTACTTATGTTAATAGCTTGACTTAATTAGTTTTCCTTTAATTATACAAGATACGATGTCTATTAATCTTCAGGAATTCTAAACCAACGCGCAAACATTGAAAGCAAACACGTTCTTTTTATGCTTGCCGGCAAATCACGTGATTAAACATGTGAAACACGTGATTACAATAGGATAATATCATTGCAGCAGGGACATAATATGTAACACTCGATTTTCAGACCTGGCCCCTGACCCCTAAAAAACAAGAAACTACGTGTTAGTTATGCCGAGCACTATTTTGGTAATACGAAGAATGACACAGCTATTAAAATATCTCAGACAAAAGGAGAAGCGTTATCCTGAAACAACGCATTCATGAGATAAAAAGTATTCTTTCAAAACTTGCCAATTCTACCTTTTTGGCACTTGACAACAAACAAACTTTAATCCATTATCATGCATACATCATTCCCGCTAAATTCATCAATACATGGCCTCCTCATGGAACCAACGTCTACGGTTGAAACGTGGAGATATGTATTTTTTTAAACTTATCAGGCATTACGTTTATCACGTTTTACGTATATATTGTAGCCAATCCCGAATAAGGTAATACTGCAGACTATAGCGTTTAGGCTACTGCCTTTTTCGACCGCCAGCTAATTAGCGTATTGTCACGTGTTGTTGACCTAGCACGAGTTGGCCTTGCATGTTTCGTAATCCCTTTGGGCGTCTTGCATTGAGCTTGCTTGAAACATGACGCGAAATGAATTCCAAGATGATTCTTATTCTCGTGTAACTGACTTTCGAATAGCAGGCAACCGATACTTAGTATGAGGTTGAAAATGTAATGTGAACTTGCGAAAAATTTATTTGAAAGCGGATTGCTCAATTAAATTATTGATGAATCAATAAAATGAAATTTCGATTTGACATTAAGCCATGCGCTTTGCAGCGTACAGAATGGGAAACAACAATTCATCACTCTTAACTTTCTATATTACCGAATAAAACCCTGCATTGCATTTCATTTCGTGTGCCGCGTGTCTATAAAAAGATATGAATTGATCGGTCGAATTTTGAATTATTTAAATAATAAAAATAAATACTTTATGATGTATTTAAAATGACGCAATTTCGATGCTGTGTATATTAAAATACAGTTTTAAATTTATATTTAGAAAATTTAGCAATTTTATTTAGCCAACCATTTTTGGGAAAACTAAATTTTTTTTTTTAAAAAAAAAAATCAAAAATGGATTAACTTTAAAGCGAGTATAGTTAGGATGTTTTAATAAAATTTTAAAAATAAATAACAAGCATATAAACCGTTTACATTTAAAAATATATTTCTTTAATATATTATCTCATAATATACAATATATAAATAAAAAATAAAATTTTCTATAAATTATTCGTTTAAATCAAATTTTTATTAAATTTATAAATAATAATAATAATAATAATAATAATAATCATGTAATTATTTAATTGATATCTAAATAAATAAAAAAAATTTTTTTTTAATATTAACTTTGCAAAGTTTATAATTATATTAATTTGATATATCTTCATTATATAAATCTTTAAAACATTCATAAACTCTATAACTTTTACATGTCAATTTATTTATTGTTAAAGTCTTTATTTTTTTAATACGATATAAAAATTAATTTTACTTTTTTTATAACTAAAATTATTTTTAACCAAAAAAATTATCTTGAATAAGTCCATATGCTAAATTATGCTATGAATTCTATAAATATTAAACTTATCAAATTGATGGCGGATTAAAAAAAAAATACTAAACTTATCAAATAAAAAATATATAAATTCTTTATCAATCAACTAGAATTTATTTAAAAAAAATTTACAATAATATTATAAAAAACATTATCAATTCAATAACTAGTTTTAATTTTTATTAATAATAATATTATTAAAAAAATTATATAAAAAATTTTTGTATTAATTATAAAAAATTAATTAGAGTCACAAAAAAAATATTTATTCTATATCTATAATAAATAATTTTAGAGAAACTTTAAACAATATGAAATACTTGAATCTTATAAACAAATATTAATAAATAATTATAAATAATAAAAATAAAAGAAAAAAAAGTTTTTTTTTTATTATAAATTTGAACTCTATAAATTCATTATTATTTTATTTAAATTGTTCAATACATTTTTAATATTTTAAAAACTTATAAACAAGTTTATATTTTTTACAAAAAATTTTATTGAAATCTATTTAAATAATATTATATTTATATAAAAATTTTAAAGATCATTATAAAATATATAAATACAATTTTTTTTTCTTTTGTCAGATTAGTTATGTATACTTTATTAAACATTTGTAGGCTATATATATTAAATAAAATAATAAAGTTAATTCTCTAACTAACTCACTCATTTTGATTATATTACCTCTCTAAGTATAACTTTGGAAGTGATTTATTATTCTATTAGAAATTTAGATGAAGACTCTTCCAACTTTTAACATTATTGTCTACAAATCACTATTGCAGATCACTTTTTTGAGCTCTGACAGAGATCAAACCTCTAACTATTTCATACTATACTTTACACTATTTAGTAGGATTTTTTTCTTGTCTTTAATTCTTTTTTCTTCATATATCAACTTCTTACTAGATCAATTTTCTATACTCTTGTTCTTTTTTTTCTGGTCTCATAAGTATACTGGTTTTTTATCCTATCGTATTTACAGATTTCTGATATCTGTTTCCATTTGATCATCTTTTCATATCTCACATTTCATATTTTCTTTTAGAAGTGGTTACATACTTTTTTCTGTATTTTCTTTATCTATCTTTTTGCTTCTTTTTAAATTCTCTTATCACAATACTTCAAATTAGCTATTCTTGCAATTAAATCTTTCTCTATTAGTCTTATATATAAGCTAAGTACATTATAACTAGTTTCTGAGATCTTTTTCACCAGTTTTGTTATCTATTTATTGATTTCTCCTATTTCTATTCTATTATTTATTATTAAGTTTAATTCTTTCTCTTCAAATTCCTTTTTTCTTTCTTTTGAAAACTTATTGAATCCTGTAATAACTCTTTTCATTCCTTTTTGTCATGTCTCACTCCATTGAGTCTTTTAAGTTAGGCATTCTAGCAAGTGTTTTATTGTTTTATCTTTCTAATCACATATAATATATTTCACTTGCTTTTACAGATCCAATCTTTTTAAAACCAACTTTTTTTTTTTTTTTTTTTTAATGGGTGGCTTACACCTTGTTTATTAAATATTTTTTTATGAGTATGTACAAATTTATTTTATACAAATTTATCACTCTATCTACTATTATAGATTATCTTGACAAGTCTGTTGCTAATCTGTAGTGCCTCGCATAACCCAGACTTCTTAAGAATACTCACAAACAACACAAAGAAGAAAACGCCTCTATAAAGAACACTTAGGGAAGGCAAAGGCATAGTGATTGACTTGGTCGAAGGTAAGTGTCTCTTTATTGTATTCTGTTTCTTTGGTATATCACTAACTCTTATCTCTATTCTCAATGAGGACTGTTTTTTCTAACACATTTAGCTCTGCCTTTTCGGCATATATTGGTAAGCTATTTATACTTTTCTATCTAACAATGGCTATCTACTTTATAATCGGCTATACTAACCCTAAGCTTTGCTAAACTTTCTATACTTTTCAATTACACACAGTTCCCTTATCAGTACCCAAGCCTTATCTATAGTTTCTTACCTTGCAACACTCAATCTTTCATGCCAGACTTTCAAGTTTTTGGATTCTAGACCATTACGCATAAATCGCATTACCCACGTGACCATAACACTACCTAAGTAAACTCACTAAAGAAATCTTCCTACCATGTAACTTATTGCCAAGTACTGATATATACTTGACTAATTTGCTAAGGCTCTACCTGTCCCATAAAAATTTTGTTGTAAATGAATAAATTGTGTTCCAGTTGATCCAATGATGACTAGCATATGTCATAAGTGTATTGATACCTGGGATGCAGGATTTGTGTGTATTCTTTTCTGTGGATATAGGTTGACATTACCTTTTGTCTTTTGTGATGATATTGTGTTCCTTTTTCCATTGTATAAAGTTTTCACACCTTTGATTCCATTTTTCTTGTTGTATATTGAGGAATCTGTTAACAATACCTTTGATAGTTTCTTTATAATGTTTTGCTGGTGTGTATTTTTTAATGGTCTTTATTAAGTCTATTGTAAGGGCTCTTCTTGCTATGTAGTTCTTGATCTCATTTGTCCAAAGTTTTGATTGTTTGTTGAGTTCTTTATTGAGGTTGTGTTTTATAGGTATGTTTAATCTACTGCTGACTTCTTCGTTAATTATTTGCTGTAGTTCTCTGTAGATGTCTATTCCATTTCCTTACATATTATGCAGTATATGTTGATTTCTATTTGTTGGCAGTTAAGGCATAGATTGTCCATGTAAGTATTTGCCACTTTTCTGTATAGTTTGTCCTTGGTGGGTAGTTCTAGGTTTCAAAGTCTGTATCTGAAGGATCTACTATTGTGATCCTCTCGATTGGTAGGTCCTATTGTGAGTTTTGACGGTGGTTTGTTGGTGAGTGAGGCCTCCTATACAATGTCGTTTAATGTAGAGGTACTATTAATTGTTGTGAGATTGCGATCAAGGCTTCTCCAATTGAGAATGTGTTTTGTACTGATTAAATTTTTTATTGAGGTTGTGATTGTGTTGTCTAGGGTGTGTCCATTTCATTCTTGTATTCAGTTTACCATATTACTTCTGATTGGTATGCATTTTATTTCAGATGCTTTTTCTGATAGAGTGGCTTCTTTTATTAGAAGATTCGCTCTAGCATTGTATTTGTTATTGCTATGAGCTTTGATTTTTTTCCAGGTGATAGAGAGTTTTGGTTTTCTATAATGTGGGTTATAGAGTTGATTAAGTTGTTGTTTTTAAGTGTTCTCAGGTTGACTGAATTTATTTATGCCTTGTTTATTGCTCCTAGG